GGGGCAATAAAAAGGTGACATTTTTTGTTAGAAATGAAATCGCTATTAGTATTAAATCAAGATATCTTTCAAAATTGCGCAGGCTCTTAGGATTTCTTTTTTAATTATATAAAGAATCCGAATCTGCTAGGAACGACGTAAAAAAAAAATCGTTCCGTAATCTGCCCTAATGTAGATCCAGTTTTTTGTCTACCTGAACAATTTTTTAAGGTTGTATAAAAATGTATTATGTTTGACATGCAACCGTGTTAATCCACTGTCACTGAAACTTGGAAAGTTTCTGCAGATTTTTTGTTCGCGCAGAAATTTCAAGTATCTCTCTTTGAAATAAAACGTACAGACATATCCTGACAGTGAAACGGGTAAAAATGTAGACACACAAATCAGTCCCATTAAGGGCTCCCCAAATTTCAACTCCAGTATACATGCATACAAGGCGAATTCATTAAATGTGGTATTAAAGTATAAAAAAGCCGAATTTATTCGAACTGGGAGCAAGGATACAAAAACAATATTATGGGTGTTAAGTCAAATCTCAATTCGCCCTATAGTTTACATGATAGTTTGATGGGTGTGCTGCCAAATCAGTAAAAGCAAAAACTAAATTCGCATTAGCTGAATGACAAATAAAAAATATAAAAGAACAAAACTGAAAACTGAAAACATGAACCTCCAAATTTCCCATTCTTCTTCTTCCTGATAACTATCTGCTAGAAAACTGAAGAAGCAAAGGTATTTTTTCACTGATAGCTGATTTTGTGACCAGCGGCAGTGGAAAAAAATAAATTATTCTTACCGAATTTAGTCAGACGAACTTCGTCGGCGCATTTGTTGTGTGCAATCTCATATACTGCAGTGTGTTTTGATTTTGACAGCAAACTTTCTTCCGACTTAGCTCTGCCGTGTACAACTTGCACAATGAAAAAGTCCCTCCATTGAACAACCGGCCCTAAGGGCAGGTTGCTTAAAGCCTGGTTGACACTTATCTCTGGTTAAACATCGTTATCTACACCGTGTTATATGCATGAAGTCGAATACGTCGATATCGATGTTAACCGTGGATTAGTGTCGACCAGGCTTTGAGCACCAGCCTGAGGGCCGTTTTCACCATCTCTGGTTACCACTAATCACCAGTTAAACGTCGTATGAATTGCAACTTTCTGCACTAAAACTGAAAAAGGTGTAGTGGGCGGGAAAGGGAAATGTTATCCGATTTCAGTGAAATTCGGTTTAAATTTACGAATCGTTTTTAATAAAATCGGATAGTATTTCCCATTCCCTCCCACTATCGTGGGGGAGGGTGGGCGTGGCTGGTCGTTATTCCACAATTTTTGGAATCGGATAACATTTACTATATCCGCCCCCTATCGTAGTGGGCGTGATAGTTCGCCAATTCTCAGCATACATACTTTTCTTTCCTTCAGTCTATGGAATATTGACGACGTGGACGTAGGCAGACGCAGCTGAAATTGGTCATGCTATTAGCTTAAAGTGTACAAGGTATTTCTGTACCAAACACCCTCCACCACACAGCGCCACAAACTACTTATACTTTCCAGAAAAACATCAAAAATGCATAATAGTTATCACAGGAATGTACTTAAATCTGTAAGGACTAGGAAAAATTAGTTTCGTTCCTCAACTTTTCTGGGTAAAAACCACAAAGTACGGGAAGGCTTTTCGGGTAAAAACTGTCAAATACACCGTGGACGCAATTTTTTGTTTACATGGCAGTTTTTTATTATTTGGCGATCTGATAAATTATACGCTAATATACAAGCAAATAAACAAAAATACTTACGAAACGTGATATTTCCTCGCTACGATATAATTAATAAGGTGAAAATGCAGATGTACTTTTGTTTTTGCTTATTCAACTTTCAAATCGTTTAAACAGCTGATGGGGGACATTCGGGTGAAATCTTGCAACCATGGTTGCCACAATTGGTAACTTTCTACCAAAATTGGTACCTTTTAAACGATTTGGTAACTTGGCAACTTTTATTTTATTTTGGTAACTTTTGCAACTAAACATCTATTTGCATTACTATAGAGAAATGAATTATGTTTTGCCTGTGCGTAATTATAAAAACCCTTCGAGTTTCAGTGGCAGCACTACTGACACTTCTACAAATTATGTACAGTAAATTATGAAAAAACCGAAAAAATAGCTCGAAATTTCGGTTAAAAGCACCCGCCGCTATTATGCTATTATTCTGTGAGTCGCAGGTTCAAATATCGGCACATTCCGAAAGAAAAATGACACTGAAGATGGCACAACGCCGAAACCGGTTTGTCTCCAAACCAAATTTGCCAAAAGATGAAGAAAAATCGTTCCACATTACATCATACTCCTGCTAGGGAGGGGAAGTGGGGGGCTGAAATTAGATTTTTTTCGAATTTCGAACATTGCCCAACCATTCGATTATTCGATTCGAAATTTGGCTGTGCAAATTCGATTTAATTCGAATTTTTTCGAATTTTTCTAAAATTTTTTTAAGTGAAACTTCTTAATCGAGTTTGGATATGTTTGCGTTAAATATTTAACACCATGTCATAAAATCTGTATCGTTCGTTCGATTTTCAAAAAGGAGGAAGGTGTCAAATGAAAGGGCTTGCCCTGTAGATGTGTAATATGGTTTTAGCTTTGTGCCATATGAATTCATGTAAGAAAATCAAAATCAAATTATTTAATAAGTTAAGTAAATTACTCCAATATGGGTACCAATCGAAATGATTTTGAATAAACTTTATTTTTTAAGTACATTTAAGAGAGGTGCCACCTATTTAAAAAGTCGAATTTAGTTAAAGAATTGTTTTGCTTAAAATACTATGCAACAACTACAATATTTTTGAGGAGCTTGAAGAGAGTGACCACCTGTTTAAAAAGTTAAACTCAAATTACACTGTAGGACAGCCCAAACCCGCCCGGACTTTGTTAACATATTCTGAAAGTATACCCATCCAGTAGTAAAACACTCGGTGGATTTGCGAAAGTTAGCTCGTATTTTTATTTCATGGCCTACTAAAGTTTTCATGTCTCGGACTAAGTAGTTTTCAAAAAAATACTTAAAATAAATGTCTGAGCGAAATTAAAGGTTAAGACATTTATAATAAAATTTCATGGGAAATATTTTCGTAGAACATTTTAACCTATTAGCTCCCGCCTAAAAGGGTAATTTTCATCCTTACTTCAATAAATCCCGCAAAAAGCAAATTTGGAAGGTCGTTAGAGGACTGGTGTACTCTAGAAAATTAGTCTCCGGAAAATTTTACTAGGGGTCTTCTCAGGCAAAAGCTTCGTGCTACGAACGTAAAAGCATCTACAAATTTAAAATAAAAAATCAACAAAAAAGTACTTTTTACATCTTTTTTTAATTTAAGAATAACAGTTCCTTCTTGGCACAGATTTTTTGCCTCGATGCATCAGATCGAAAAACATGTATTTTTTACTTGCATCCCTAAGACAAATGGAGTGCCACACACAGTGATGGCAAATTTAGTCAGAAACAAGAAAGTTGAAGAGTTGATTTTTTTGGAAATAAATATGAAATTCGATTTTTTCTAGAAAAATTCGATTTTATCCGAATTTCAGCAACACAAAGTTCGATTTCAAAAATTCGCCATTTTGGAGCTAAAATTCGATTATAATTCGAACTAACCCTAACTTCTACCGTGTCGGAAAAACCAACAACGAAAACGAGAATACCGGCACATGCAGTAATTAATTGATAGAAAAATATCTTCTAATAAAAAAAATTATTATAATTGTCAATAGCATTTTCAATCTTGATAATTTATCAAGAAAATAGATTTAAACTTCTTTGCTGTGTTTTGTTTTTTGATAAATAATCGAAAATTGACAACTTATAAAAATATTGAATTTATTAAGTGCACAGAATCGGGCTGTAAGTATATGCACATTTGTTATGAAATATAGCAGTTTTATTCAGTATATTTTTTTCTCAGTGAAGAAGTGAAGATTTTGGTATTGAAGATTTGGTAACTTTTGGTAACTTTTTTTAATAGATTTTGGTAGAAAAAAATGTTGGCGAGTGGCAACCATGCTTGCAACTTCTGACAAAGGGAGGACCGATTTAACTTTCCCATTTTCCTTCTACTTTGCCTTGCCAGAGAACCGAGTACGGGAACGCTTTCTGGTAAATTCATGTAAATTCTGGCAACTTATTGCGCGTTAGGGAACGCAACTATTATGTGAACCTGAATTGGAGCCACCCTTGCGTGCTATTGATATTGATGATGAAGACAAATCCAGTTTCAATCCATCATTCAACTACCATTTCTGAGCCGGTAAAATGCGTATTCGAATTCTTACGTAAAAGTTCTATCCATACATATCCTTTAATAATTGCTAGAGTAGTTAGTAGTAGTAGTAGGAAAAAATTCTTAAAACCTGTTAGTAGACATGTTTAGAATCGAGTCAACCACTTAGCTGGATATTTCCGGGCATTTCGATATTAGGACTTTCTGCCACTCTCAGACCACAGTGCGCCGCCCCAACAGCAAATGGATTTTATGAGAATCTTTTTCATGGCAGAAATACACTGAGAGATTCGCCGTTGGCTTTTACTAACTAAGAAGTTGCTCGGAGCAGGGATCGCTCCTAGGTCCTACGGACTACCATTAGGCACCTCTAACCCCTCAGCTAAAACGGCGTTATCTTACATTGATCCTGTAAAAAAAAATGATTCAAAAAATTATTTTGTTACATGTTCGCTATTTGAAACAAATTGCAACCGTTCAAAAGTCACATACGTTCGAGCACCCAGAGACCCAAAAAAGTGCATTGTGCCACGTTGATGAACTCTTACATCGAAGGTGAAAATGTGAAAATACAGGGAATTTCAATATGTGTAAAAACAAGCTTACCATATAACTATACTTTTTTTTTAAGTAAACAAAATCTGAATGTATCTGCACATATATATTTATTGACTCTCTAAATGGCTAACCAATGTAAATATATTAACCTTCTCCAGTTGAACAGATTTAGAGAACCACCAGCTTTTGGACCTATGTGTGATCTGCTTTGGTCTGATCCATTGGAAGACTTTGGAAATGAAAAAAACAGTGACTTCTTTTCGCATAATTCAGTGCGCGGATGCTCCTACTTTTTCAGGTGAGTCCGTGACTTATGATTTTAAAATCTTATAAAAAGCTTGGTCCCAGTTGATTTGGAGTTCAATGTAGTGAGGGGCCACCTAAAATTATGTTGTTCATTGATTCACATAAACAGAAATATACATACATATGTATGTAAAAATCAATTGCACTTATATACTAGATGCTTTCATTATGCACTTGCACTTTCTTTGCAGCTATGGGGCCTGTTGTGAGTTCCTACAAAAGAACAATTTGCTATCAATAGTCCGTGCTCATGAAGCTCAAGATGCAGGGTAACTGATAACTTTACATACATGTATATCCTCTATATTTTTGCCTATTTTTCACTTTAAATATTAGATATAGAATGTATCGCAAAAATCAAGTCACCGGATTTCCCTCGCTAATCACCATTTTCTCGGCGCCCAATTATTTGGACGTTTATAACAACAAGGTACTTGCTCAAATTATGCACATATCATTCTTTTAGCATACTTATTTACATTTTCCTTGTGGGTGCCAAGTATATGTTTCTACACGTACTTTACAGTGCTCCCCTCTTTGATCTTCTTGGCAAATATTGCATTTAATAATTCTAATAATTTGTTTTTATTTTGCCGCTGGTGCAACGCGACGTCTAACGTAAATGTCACTTGATAAAAGGCAGCTGTACTCAAATATGAAAATAACGTTATGAATATCCGCCAATTTAATTGTTCGCCGCATCCATACTGGTTGCCAAATTTCATGGATGTGTTCACATGGTCATTGCCATTTGTGGGTGAGAAGGTAATTTAGTGCATAAAATCACAATTATGAGCGCGCATACTCGTACATAGTATGGGCTTAAGTAGGAGCACGTGAACATACTTACATACATATGATATGTACATACACTATAATGAATAAAAATTCTGAAATTTTATTACACAAAAGAAATATTTTAACAGGTGACGGAGATGCTGGTGAATATTCTTAACATCTGTTCGGATGACGAGTTAGTGTCTGGCCCCGACGATGAATTGGAAGAAGGTATAGAAAACTTAAGATAAAGAAACCGTAAAGAATTCTTAGCAAAATAATATCGTAACATAAAAAATATCTTCCTACTATATATTGTCGATGCCTTCGCAAACTGCCCATCGGCCATTTGCAAAACCGCCTGAATCGCTATTGTCGCAAAAATGGGATTTTGTAACCCTGAACTTCAGGTATCGAGATTTATGCATAAAAATTGTAAAATCGTTAATAAAAAAAATAATTTTGTAAAATAATAGCTAGATAAAATACCACCTATCAAGTCAATGCTTTCAAAGAAAAACAGTTTTTTTCACTAACCTGTAAAATTTGTGTGCCGTGAGATAGGTTTTGCAAAGGCACCAACGATATCGTCGCTACCATGCCAAACTATCGAATGCGCAAAAATGCTTTTTCATTTACGAAACCTTGCGCATGTCCTTAAAATGCTGCTTTATCGATCACATGTTATAGGCTGGGTGTCGATAACTGGGGATTACAATTAACCAGACATGGTGCAAACGGCCCTTAGAAGCAGAAGATACTGGATTTAACAAAGTGTCGAATCCCACACTTTTTCCTAATGACAGCCACATTTTTTACAACGGTTTCTTTGCTCTCCTGAAAAGTACCGATTTTCACATTCGATAATTTGACATGGTAGCGACGATATACATACATATATAGTAGGAAAACGGTTTGCAAACACACTTTTTTCGAATATAGAGGAAACATTTCTTGTAACGGAACAAAACAAAATGCTGTCATAGCCGAGTGATTTGTTTGATTGCCCTTCGTTTCATGGGAATTCTGAAATTTCTGATTTCTGAGACAGGATAAAACAATTCAAGTCGATAAAGCATACCGGCTGTCAATTATTAGCAGGCAATCGAGTAACGGCCTTAAATGCACTGAAATTCACTTATTCTTGCACAAGAACGCCGTTTTTTAACTTTTTCTTTATTAATTCTTTTTATAAAACATATGTATATTTTTGCAATTTAACACAATTAAACCACGTTTCCTATCGAAAAGTTAAATACTAATAAAATTCACTGTTTTGACACTTTCTTTTGTCTCCCTTCGGGCTTTGTTAACTTTTATATGGCCAAAAACTTTATACAAATGTACTTTTTTTTATTAAAAAAATGTTTCCGAAGAATTGTAGTACTGGCCTCCTGCCCTTGATTTGAAATCGTTCTTTTCTTGTTTTATAAATGTCCCCAAAGGCTTCTCAAAAATCCAAGAAAGGTCAAACAAGTAAAAACTCGAATTTGATTGGGATGGGCCTTGACTTTCATCCTCTGAAAGACACATGGCTTTCATTTGATCACTTTGGTTTTGGAATACCTCCGTTTGACGAAACGCGATCTGAACTCATTTGGCTATGGCAGACTCGGTTTGCGTTAATTATTCGGCCCACAATATTTCAATATATTTTATTTATATATTGTTTTATATAGGAATCTAACAAAATAATTTGGGTAGAAGCTAGGCATTTACAAATGAGGGGTGCCTAACCAAAATTAATATTTCCACGATACAGATAACAAATTAAAATGCACAATCTCAAAATATATCTAATAAGGGTACTCATCGATTCTCGCAAGTTTCATATTTGGACAATTTTATATTCTGTGCAATTTCAGACATTTAATTGTTTGACAATGCTTAATTTAAAAAGTTGAACAATTGAAACTCGAATTTAAGAAAATATTTAAGTCTTACGAAAAAGCGTTGAGCACAATTCAAAATGAAAGTAAACAAAATAGTTGGTTGAGGGTTGCACATCACCCTGCGCAAATTTGCGCGACAAAATTTCCGCACAAACTTGCCCTTTTTGTGCAAATAGCTTTTCATACAAATTTTGACATTTCATTTCCGAGGGTTTTAAATTGCACAGTTTACCCAGTTTGCGAGAGTTTTGCGCGTTTAAATGAGTACCCTTAATGTGTTTTGGAAGTGTTTATAAGGAAATATCGTCTTTGGATTAGACACTCCGCAATTAATACACTCACACACTACAATATTTAAATATAAATTTCTTTAGTTCTTTTGTTATTTTTATAATTTTTTAACAATGCTTACATATATGTATGTATGTGCGTATCTAAATGGTTACTCTATGTACGTCTGTATCTCGGTGTGCATGCATATTTATTTTGTTTTTTTATATGTCAAAATGAAACCAAAGAGCTCCGCAAGAAAATCGTTCTTTTACCAGTGAACACGAATAATACACCAGCACCAGCCCCCAAAACAGGTAAGCCAAGCGCTTGTGCCTCTTGGAGTGCATTGGCTTGAGAGCTGTGCTTTATATTTGACTACATATAAATACATACATACGTATTTAGGTGATTCGCAAGTCGTCTGAAGCGTCGTAATGCTTATTAGTCGTAAAATTTTGGAACGTAAAGTAACGATTAAAATATTTTAAGACGTTTTTAACCTAAACTATTTTAGCCGTTATTTTACGTAGAAAAAGTTTACGACTTTAAGACATTACGACGTTTAAGATGACTTATGATTCCCCTAATTATGGATGTAAATATGTAGGTTCCGCTGCTTCAACTGCATTTCTATTCTATTTGTTGCTTCTTCCATCTTTAAGTAGAGTTTAGTGATACATATTTTGCTGTTCTTAACAAGCTATGCTTTTTATGTAAATACATATATATGTATATATACATATGTACATATACAGATATGTATGAATAGTAATTATATTCAAAAACCTGGAAGGAAATTAATCTTTGTTTAGTTTAGGATCCAGCCATGTGCATATGGTCAATTTTTCCGAAAACTAAACCAGTCCCATTCTTTTTGTGCATATTGGAGACTAGAGTTACCCGGTCACGCCTTGCTGTGGCTTAGTCTAATAAAATGGAAACATGAAAATCAAATAACTTATGTCAATTTTCAATCTCGAACGTAAAGCACAAAATACAATAGCGCAGTGGCAGTGACAGTTTTTTAAAATCAGCTGTTACTGCTAATATTGGCAGGCACTGCCGCAGCAAACACAATACGGCGCAGACTCATTGCCAACACATTTGGTCTTCTTAGTAAAAGATTCCGTGGTATAAAGTTAAGATATTTTTATAGTATTCTTAAATATTTATATTAATTAAAAAAAGCACTTATATTTGCAGAAATTCATTTTCCACAAAACGCCAACAAAGTAAAATGAAAAACAACTCTGCCACAATGTAAGAGCTTCTGGTGTTTTCAATCGCTACCAAATTTTTTGTTTTTTTTTTTTCACAGTTCTTGCACAAAGTGTGTGAACAAGTACAGTTATTCAGGCAGGTCTGAAATTTCCTTCCGAATGCAATTACTCAAGTTCACTTTGAATCCAAATTCTGGTGTTTTTTGCATTTCTCGTTTTTCATGCCAAATGCAAGTGAATTAATTTTTTTCGTTTTCAACATCACTTTCAGGTTATAAATAAAACAGTAAAAATCTCGGGATGACGGGATTGAATGCCTGCCTAATTTGTGATTAGTTTTTGAGGAAGAATCCAGGGCAGGTCTGGGTTTTTTACAGGATACGTTCCAGGTTAGCCAAAAAATTGGGTAGGGCCTTACTTCAGTCGTAATGAAATGCACCGCAATTGTTAGGTGAAAAGTCGCCAGTGAAAAGCTTAACAAGTTTTTTTTCGGGTACTTAAAGCTCAGTTAGTCTAGATTTCCTATACTTAACTTACCATGACTTAAATTAACCTAATATATTTTGGCGAAACTCTTATACGTAAAGCTTTGTTAGTGGTCAGTGAAATCATAATTTACCGTAAGAAACGTACATAAATTTAGAGCGAGGGCTTGCCAGATTTTCGTTTTTGTAGTTCTCAAAAATAAATATATGCAAAATTTTTTTTTCGTATGCATGTTTTTGATGTGTATTATGGTCGACGAACTGTCAAAACATTCCCGCGTCTGGCTCAAGTTGTCGTGTTGAGTAATCAATGACAATTTTTTAAAGGTAAGTTAAGTCTAGATCCTAGACTAACTGAGCTCTTAAATAAGTGTAACGTGGACAGAATTTTAATTTTTATTGAAAAAATTATATATGTTATATATAGAAAATGACCCTCCTTTCATTTTAACAATAAATAATACGATATATTAATAAATTATGAACATCGACCAAAATCGAATTTTTACTCTTCAAAGTCGAGTTTTAGTGATCGACTTTCAGCTTGTGGAAGTCGTTTGAAGTCAACTTTTCAGTTTCGCCTCTCGACTTTTTTTAATTTATTTGCAGTGGCGTCTCTTCAATTAAAACTTATCTTCTTACAAGGGCGCAGAGTGCTATTTGGTCGTATTTAAAAAAAAAACGCCAATAAAACTTAAGTGAAATGTGATAAGTGTGATATATAAATGTATTTTAATGACAGTACAATAACATTGTCAAATCATTTAAGAGCAGCGCATAAGATTATTATACGAAAACAGATTCCTCGAATTTGTTAATCGTTTGTCTCCACAATCTTCAGTTAATTGTGATGTAAGATATACGTAGATATTTATTTTAATAATTTCATGTAAGAAAGTTTTTCTCCACTAGTTTATGTAAGTAAGTAGTAAGTAGTGAGGAAGACGAACCCGAGTCCCCAGTCGATGATGATGGAGTAGCTGTCCCACCGCCTGACTATGACGAGGTACGAATACAACAAAGCTGCTGGAGCTGACGGCCTGCCAGCCGAGCTATTCAAGTACGGCGGCGAGGAGCTGATGAGGTGCATGCATCAGCTCGTATGCAGAATATGGTCAGATGAACGCATGCCCGACGACTGGAATTTAAGTGTGCTCTGCCCAATCCACAAGAAAGGCGACCCCGCCATACGCGCCAACTACCGCGGAATTAGCCTTCTAAGCATAGGTTACAAGGTCTTATCGAGCGTATTGTGCGAAAGACTGAAGCCCACCGTCAACGAGCTGATTGGACCTTATCAGTGTGGCTTTAGGCCTGGAAAATCCATCATAGATCAGGTATTCACAATACGCCAAATCTTGGAAAAGACCCGCGAGAATAGGATCGACACACACCATCTATTTGTCGATTTCAAAGCCGCTTTCGACAGCACGAAGAGAAGTTGCCTTTATGCCGCGATGTCTGAATTTGGTATCCCCGCGAAACTAATACGGCTGTGTAAAATGACGTTGAGCAATACCACCAGCTCCGTCAGAATAGGGAAGGACCTCTCCGAGCCGTTTGATACCAAACGAGGTTTCAGACAAGGGGACCCCCTTTCGTGTGATTTCTTTAATCTTATGTTGGAGAAGATAATAAGAGCCGCAGAACTGAACCGCTCAGGCACAATACTTTATAAGAGCGTACAATTGCTGGCGTATGCCGACGACATCGATATTATCGGTAAAAACAAGGGCTACGTCTGTTCTGCCTTCTCGGGATTGGATAGAGAAGCAAAGCCAATGGGTCTGGTGGTGAACGAGGACAAAACGAAGTATCTCCTGTCAGCACACAAACAGTCAGAGCATACGCGTCTTGGCACCCACGTCACTGTTGACAGTTACAAGTTTGAAAAAGTAGACGACTTCGTTTATTTGGGAACCAGCATTAACACCAATAATAATGTCAGCCTTGAAATCCAACGGAGAATCACTCTTGCCAACAAGTGCTACTTTGGGCTGAGTAGGCAATTGAGAAGTAAAGTCCTCTCTCGTCGTACAAAGTCACTCATCATGCCTGTGCTGGTGTATGGCGCGGAAGCATGGACAATGAAAGCATCTGATGAGGCGGCTCTTGGAGTTTTCGAGAGAAAGATTCTGCGAATATCGCAGACGATTTAACGATGAGCTGTATGAGCTTTACAACGATATAGACATAGTGCAGCGAATTAAAATTCAGCGGCTCCGCTGGCTTGGCCATGTCGTTCGGATGGACAGAAACGCTCCTGCTCTGAAAATATTCAACGCGGGCCGCGATGCTGGGAACAGAGGAAGAGGAAGGCCTCCTCTGCGTTGGAAAGACCAGGTGGAGAAGGACTTGGCTTCACTTGGCATTTTCAATTGGCGTCAGTTAGCACAGAAGAGATATGACTGGCGTGCTGTTTTGGACTCGGCCAAAATCGCTTAGGCGGTTACAGCGCCAAATAAGAAGAAGAAGAGTTTATGTAAGCTTCTACAGACAGTCTTTGCTTCGAATTTGACCAATCCGTAAGTACAAAATTTTAAACACCGATCAAAATATTGCTGGTAGAATTCCAGTTGATATGCGACATTAGTCGTGTGGATAATCCCAATCTATGCTACTTTAAAGGAAGAATATCCCTTATTTATAAAGTGACACTTAAATTTCTACCAATACTCGCCACCTCTGTTCCATTGGAAAGGCAATATCTTCAAAAAGTTGACCGTAATTACCAAATATCGATTTAAGACATTTTTAGAATTTTTAAATTTTTCAAAAATATACATTTTTTAAAACCCTCACAACCAAAATTTTCGTTCTGTATAGCTGGAACAATTTTCAATATTTTTAAAAATCCTATAGTCTGTTTGTTTTTTTACCTAGCATTGAATTTCAATAAATTACATATTATTCTAAAGACCACTAGTAAATCATGATATTTTTGGCGTATTCTGACACTTATATTTATGTTTAAAATATATGAGTTAAACGCAGAGTTTTTATTCAAAAGTCGACTTTCTTTCGTCGATCGGTCGACTTTCAAAGTCGACTGTACAGGGTCGATCGAAAATTTATGACACTTATATTTATATATAAAATATATGAGTTAAACGCACAGTTTTTATTAAAAAGTCGACTTTCCTTCGTCGATCGGTCGACTTTCAAAGCCGACTGTACAGAGTCGATCGAAAGTCGAAAGTCGACTTTCTAGTAAAGTCGAACAACCCTACGTGGGACTGCCACCTAACCTAACCTATATGCAGAGTTGCGAAACATTGTAACCACATACATTGCATATTTTAAATATGCAACATAACATTGAATAATCTTTCGTAATTTTCCATTTTCACGACACCAATCGCAACTAAAACAAAACGAAGCATCAAGTTTGTTTTATATGCGCTGATTACTTATTATGCGTTTCGATAACTTTTCGGATGCGCTTTGGAAAAGTATACATTGTCGACATTTCGTAGTTCGACGTTATGAAACATAATTCTTTGTATGTTTTGGAAGTCAGCCGTTTTTCGCAATCTACATCGATATGTATCGTCCATTTTTTCAAAACAAATTCGTTAATACTTTTTTGTTGGCAGAAAAAAATATTTT